CAGTCTTAAGGGATTTGATGTGCAGAGCTCTCGTTAGTCCAATTTGTGTTTTTAGCTTTATCTACAGGAGAGTTTTCTCTAGTGAACAGATTTTGAATTGATCTGATGCTTCTGATTTATTTAGGAGAAAGCAGCTGATCCTGAAAGCAAACTAGCTTGATGAACTATGTTATATAAAACAGACTAATTATTCCATCTTTTAGTAATGATGCAGTAACATTTCACACCAAGTAATGACCACTATACTATCTAAGGATAGGGAATTTGAAGGGTTATTTTGGCTAATGAGGGAAAGGAAGAGGCGTGGTGAATCTCAGAAGAAGAGGGCATTTGTCACTCCCTGTAGAAAGCACTGGTGAAACTTTGAATTAAGAATATGGATTTCTTTATATTACTCAACATAGCAGATCCTGTTTGTCTTGATTTTGAAATATTCAAGGAAGATTTATTGCTCCTACTTGGAGAGCCACTTCAGGTGGTCTTTCTAAAAAGTGTGCTTTTTTAAAGCATGGTTTCCTACTTTGTTTCCAGCCTTCCTTTGTTTTGGGATTGGCAAACACCTGTTTTTTCTTTCACTAATATTTTTGAGCTACCTTTAAGAAATACTTTAATTTAAACCATCTATTTAGAGTCCCTTTTATACTAACAGGGTTTAATTTAATGTTTCTGGATTTGCATGCTTCCGAGTATTTTTAATGCATTTCTGTGTAAACAAAACGGCCAACCTTGAGAGAGATGTGCAGTCACTCCAGTGAAGTGATTATGAATTCAGCACTTCCAGTCCTTCAGCCTGCGAGCTGGGCAAAGTGGAACCCACTGGTGGGCATTAGTACACTTTGCTGGTGAGAAAATGGACCCGAAACAAGGTGCCTGTGTGAAGTCTGATTCCCCAGAGTGAATGTTCAAGCCAGAAGTTGGACTTAAACAGTTTTGCAGTGACTTTCTTAGGCCTGGCATAAGCTAACGGCTTAGTCAGGCTTCGGTATTGTATTTTTGGATGTACCAGTGGATGGGGCAGTTGAGTTTACAAGTGGTTTTTGTAATGGGCTTCCTTAAAAAGCAAGTCAGAAAGGTTTTATTTGTTGCTTTGTCTGCTAGTAGCTGCTTTTCAGTTTTGGTTATCACGCTGTTCCCATTTGTGCACATCTAGTGCTGCCTTTTCTGAGTCACTCCACCTGTGAGGGGCTGGTTTAGAGGAACTGCTGAGATATGGTTTCAGTGACAAAAGTACAACCGAAAGTCATCCTGATGACTGAGTCGACTATCATCAGTTGTTAGCTTCCGCACCTTATTTCTTAGACTTAACCTGACAGCATGTCATGTTTCATCTCAGGCACCAGTAGCTGAACTGGGGAGGATGGAGATGAGTGCAGGCACTGTAAAGCAGCTCTGAATATGAGTATCAGCCATGTAATCCTGAGCTCAGGGACCTGTAAATGGGTTCACACTTGTTTGTGCTATGGGTGCAGCAACTTGTAGCAGTTTCTGTTATGACCAGGAGTTGGTCCCTTGGTGGTCTGAGAGCTGGCAGGGAGGTCTGATTGTGTTAGCCAGCAGCCTGGTGGTTGGCCCGTGGTCCATGAAGGCAAATATTAACGTCACTGTGCTGAGCATACAGTGCTGGGCGAGGGGGTAGGTAAGTTTTAGCACACTGAGCAGAGGGAAGAGCTGTGACATCCTTTCTTGTGAAGAAGAGACTGAGGTCTGGCTCGTGCAGCGCGTGAGGATAAAAACTGCTAGGGTTTCTCACTGCAGTGCGTTCACAATGAGGTGTGAATATGAACTCTGGGGATGAAAAGATACCAGAGTCTCAGTGACAGAAATGGCTATAAATTGGCTATAAATATATATAATTGGCCCATACCGCCTGTATCAGCAGGGTGCAGGACAGCCCTTCCGGGAGCAGTGGGAGGAGGTGCTACTGATGAAGCTTCAGCTGAAATCTTGCTGCTTTTGTTCTGGGGAATAACTGTATTTAGTGCCACGGTGCGTGAAACAGTCACAGAACGTGGTACGTGTGGGTTGTGTGTTCTGTTACGCCTGTGCATGCCTTTCCCGTGGAGGAGAAAGATTACTAGGAGAGAAACAGTGATAAAAGTTTAATTGAGAAATGCTACTTAGCATAAAAAAAATTATTGAGAGCTGCTGTTTATGCTTCCTTTCTGATAACGCCACGGGAATAGCCAACGTGTGTCATTCTCTCCTGGAAAATTGTGCTACAGTTTGACTCTGACTGCCTTGTTTCATTTTTCTGAAATGCCATTTGGGTGGTGGAAAGAGAATACATACAACCTGTGTTCACAGTCTGGGAATTGGCATAGTGATGTTCGTACAGTCACAGAATACTGGGTTGGAAGGAACCTCAAGGATCGTCTGGCCCAAACTTTCTTGGCAAAAGCAGGGTCTAGACAAGATGGCCCAGCACCCTGTCCGCCTGAATCTTAAAAGTGTCTAATGCTGGGGAGTCCACCATTTCCTGGGGAGATTATGCCAATGGCTGATCTCATTATGAAAAATGTTCCTCTTGTGTCCAATCGGAATCTCCCAGGAATAACTTGTACCCGTTACAGTGCATTGTATCGCTAAGCAACAGATGGCATCCTGCTGTCTGCTAGGGCCGTTGCCTGTTTGTCCAGTTTGCCTGAAAAATCCAGATCAGCATCTAGCTCAAGGTTTAAGTACTGAAAAAGAACAGTAGATTGGTATCTTACTTTGTGTAAAGTTTGTAATTAATTTTGTTAGTAAAGCATTAAGTAAATCAGAGAAATGCAGTCAGGATGTGCTTTGTCCATCCCTAGAATAGCAAATCCTAATGATCTTGGTGCCTTGAGGTAGGATGTGTATCTTGTGAAGTGAAGCCAGTTTCCTATACAGCCAGCAGTGACAGATCTCACCAAATACGGTGTGAAATAGCTACGTAATGTACAAATGTGCATCTTTATACTTGTGGATTGTAGGCTCAAGATAGGTCTTAATTATTCTCTTCAGTGTATATGCACCCTATGGAATTTAACCTCAAAAGATGAAAATTTGTGCACTGGAGAGCAATAGTAATAGTCCTGAATTTTAAATGCCTTTTTTTGATTAAGGGAAGACTTTCTTTGCTGCTTCTGCAAAAGCTAATTGTGTATTTGCTCAGAAAGAAAGCGCTTCTAAAGTTTAAATAAAAATGCCACTGGCAGATCCTACTCATTAAGCCTCTCTGAGTGTCTACCTGTTGTTTTAACTTCTGTTACGTTATTGACAATACTAAGTGAAATTGGTTGCTAAACTTCTTAGCTAAATATCAGATATGGCACTGAAAATTCATCTTCTTTTCTTTCTTGATATATGACCTGCATAATTTTTGTCTATATAAGTTTTTTTGTTTGGTTGGATTTTTGTTTGTTTGTTTGGTTTTTTCACTGCTCTTGTGAATATCCAATTTAGTAACTACAGTGAATTATACAATATTCCCAATTACCAGTTTTTATTAGCTACACTTCCATATTGAGTGATGTAGCATCATTCTTACAGTATATTTTGACCAAGTTGTTGCAGTATATTTTGAAAAGTTCATGAAAGAGGTATTTTGCCACTTTGAGACTCTTTCTCTGTCTAGCAGATCATAGAACCATAGAATGGTTTGGGTTGGAAGGGACCTTAAAGTTCCAACCCCCCTGCCATGGGCAGGGACACCTTCCACTAGACCAGGTTGCTCAAACCAGATCCCATTGTAGCATTTGTATTAATTTCCATTCTTCCTTTCTTTTTATTTTGTTTCATCCTTTGCTTTCAGGTACATGTCATCATTACATTTGTTCCTTCCTTTGCTGTGTTCCAATAACCTTTGTTTAAGTGTGTATGCGTAGACATTAACATATCCTTCATTTAATGAGTAGTTAGACTGTACATATTCAGCTCCGTTAATATTTTAAAATTATTTCTGGTGGTTCTTGTTGCTTTTTGTTGAATCTTATGCTTCTTGTCTTTCTGGTACTTCAGTTTGCAGAACAAATGTGTTGTGCCATGAGTGGTTGTAAAAATGAGTGTAAAATAATGAATGTTTTGCAAGGAACGGATTGATCACTGGTGCGATGTACTCACGTGCACAGACACGTTTTATGATTGTAGGGATGAGCCAGAAGATTAAGCACTGTTCTTCGTACTGCTTGCCAGCTGACTTTTCAGTGAAGTCCAAGATCTCACTACCTGCAGGAGGGTCTTAATGCCTCAGCCCCGTGTAGTTCAAAGACATCATTAAGCGGTTGATTTTGGTCTTGAGTAATTGTTAGACGGTAAAAGTCAGAGCTAAAGGGAGTTTCAGATGGGAAAGTTTTAAATTGCAAGGTTCTCAAGATTTCCCCCCCCCCGACAGTTATACATATCAACTTGGACTGTGAGCCTGGAAATACTCAGAAATATTTTACATGCACTGTTGTCCTGACTTTTGCAGACGTTCTCCAGACTTTGCCTTCAGTATCATTCAGAAAACTTGGAAGTTTGGAGATTTTTTTTTTTTTCTTTCCTGTCACTTTTTAAAGACTTTGTTGCTCTTGGAGGATGGTAAAGGGTTTTTTCCCTGCAGAGGAACTTGTTTTGCCACGGCCTGAGCTGTGTGATGAATGCCCAAGTTCTGGTAATATGAGTCATGGCATTGAATGATGCTGTCTGTAATGTCAAAAAGTTATTTTTGGGGACATCTGGAAAATGATAGAGTAGTTTGTTGGTAGGAAGATCAGGATAGAAGGACTTCTACAATATAACATAAGCCTTGCTTACTGTGTCATGCATAAATTACGAAGAATGTTTCATGTGCACAATCTACTTCTGCATGGTTGAGCTCAGCATTGGAAAGCACTATAATCTCTGTATCTCCTGGTTTGGGGTAGTAGTTCCATTTCACCGTATGAAAAGTTTGAAGTGTAGAGTGTGAGACAACAGCAGAATCGGAAGTTAAACCTTGTTCTGTGCCTTTGCGTTAATCTAACAATATATTAATAACTGTTTGCTACCTGTAGGAAATCTGTCCAGCCTAAGTCGTCTTGGCCTGAGGTACAATAGGCTGTCAGCAATTCCGAAGTCTCTAGCTAAATGCAGTGAACTCGATGAACTGAACCTGGAGAACAACAACATTTCTACTTTACCAGAGGTGAGAATTAAAGGGATTGGATTTGGGAGACGATGTTGTTGTAAGGCATGGGTGTTCTGTAGAGGGATTGGATTACAAGAAGTTGTTTCATCTTGCAACACAACCCTGAGGAATACCCTTTGTTTTAATCTCTGTGTGTCGTGTGAAATATTGCAGTTCTGCACATATTAGGTGTGTTGAACTAGTATAGAACTGATGTCATACAACTCCAATCAAAAATGGGAACAATACATGTGATTGTATTTGCTGTCCTGAGTCTCCTTAGAGAACATTCGTAAGAGTCCAGGTTCCCACAGGTCAAGGCAGGCAAGAGCTTCTCAGCTCTTCTGTTTCATACAAGTAGGGAAGAAGTAGAAAAATGGGATCTTTCTTTCCCCAACTAATTGAGGCAAGAATGACCTTTAAGAGGGTGGGTAAAAGTTGTCACAGCTACTTGGGCTCATCATTCTCATCTTAATGTGGAAGAGTGCTGTTGGCACCAATGCGATAGCGTCTGGCAACTCACCGACGCCATTCAATGCCATCAGTTCAAAAAATAAAGCGTTTGCATCATTTTCAGTTTCCAGTGACTCTGTGAGGGGGAAGAGAAATCAGTGTTCTTGCTTTTGTTTTCATAGCTGCTGCACTTGATTGTCTTACCTTGGTCTCTCTTGCTTGGAACCAAGGAAAATATCCAGAGTTAGGAGTTCTGGAGCAGCCTTGTCAGTCTTTTCTGTTAACACGCTTTCTTGAACTGAGTGTTCTGCTAGCTCTGGGGTGGAGAGGCAGAAGATCCCAGTGCATCTGTTCATTTTTGTATACTCCTACCCTGGAGTTGTCTGAAATGTGCCCTGTGGACTTAAGTTTCACAGTCCTGGATAGCTACAGTAATTGGTTACAGAGCATTTTTAAATACAGCTCTGATGCCTGCAGACTTTGAAAATATTTGAACTACAGGGTTATACCTTCAGTCTCTTTCATTTTCTTAATTTCTTGAGACTGGTGATCAGGGCAGCAGAGTGTGAGCTGCTCAGCTGCGTACTTTTGGTGTTAATACACATTTAGAGAAAACTGACTTGAAGCATTAGTGCCTGGGCAGAATTGCTCCAATGGCAGAAAAAAAATCCTACGTGATTGATTCTTTTTTGGATGTTTCTTCTATTGCTTTAAAACATTTTGAGATGAAGGCTTCAGGACACCACATAGAGTTTAGATTCTGTTCTGTTTTAGTAATGGTCCAAACTGCTTTCTAAAGCTGTTATCCCCACTCCCAAGTTGTATAAATTACTAGTATAAAATAAGTTAAAATGTGTCTAAGGTATATAGGAAACTATGCATGGAAGAAGAAAACCCCAAAGTGCAGTTGGAGTTAGGCAAAGTACTCATAGTAACAAAATGCAGTAACTACTTTCCTTCAGATCAATTTCTGAACTCAGCAAGGATGGACTGAAAACAGCGAATTTAATAACTGTTTGGGTAAAAGTATCATTTAAGAAAATGCTACTGAGTGAAAGCCACCAGGCAGCTTTTAAGATGAGAGCGAAGCTAGCCCACCCCACCCAGACATATTATAAAAGCAGCTACGGTATAATTACAAAAAGCTAATGGGAGGGATAATTACTTGCTTTAAAATATGTTCAGTCATAATACAAAACTGTGCTGTCAACTTCATGTGTATTTGCCAGTAATACATTAACACTTAAGCTGCTGCCTTGCAGGAGTGTATAGTTTCTACTGTCATCTTTCTAAAGTAAAACATTCTGTGCTGTAATACAAAGAACTGTATTTGTAGAAGAAACTTTAGAATTTCAAAACAGCTGAAGCTGCTGACACAATGCCTAATAAATATTTTATCTTAAAAGGATGGGCTGGGAGAAGGCAGCACTTTCATAGATATAAGAGCATTTGTTCTCTTTGTACTGCCAAAGCTCTCTTGCTTCCCTTCAAATGTGTTTAATTACTCTAGGCTATTAGAGAGTATTAGCTAACATATTTTTAATATTTTTTTTATATGGAAGCAGACTTCAAAAATGGCTTTTTGAAATGCCAAGATGCATTTGAAGCAATAAAGTGTGTTTGTAACAGAGCTCAGGGACTGCTAACCCTAGACAAAGAATATCTGTTAATTAAAGTATAGCTAGAAGCAGTATTTCCTAATCAAAGATTATACTAGTTAATGATTAGGTTAGATTAATACTGATTTGAAGATCCATTATTTTATCTTTAGGGGGAAAATTGCTTCACTGATATTTGCCGAGATGCCCCCAGATTGTATTTCACTGCTTCAAGTTTTAGCCGTGACACGTAGACAAGTCCCTCTTTAATCCTGTTTTACTTACAGTAATGTTGTTAAACTATTTAGAAAAGCAGTCCAAACTTCCCTGGTGAAAGAGCAAAGCCACGTTCTTAGAGCTTTTACAGTGAATATAGCACTGAAACTGCAATGCAGGAATACTGACATTAGGAATATGGTTGGAGTCATTACCTTGTTACTGCTCACTTCTGATTGCAGATGTTGCATTATTTTTGTAGGTAATGCCATGCATAAATCTCCAATTTCTGTAATACTTAAGCAAAGAGGGCTGAATACAAGTTGGCATAGTAATAAGCAAAGGTGACACTTCAGCAGTAATTTAGATCTCATTATTCATCCCTACAGTTCCAGCAACGTGCTTGGCACGTAACTAACAGGTAAACGCTGAGATCTGAGCGCTCTGAGTGCTGCTGAGATTGTAGAGTCTAATTAGATTGCGAAGTGAAGTGAGTCTCTGGATTCAATGGGCAACTATTGCTATCCAGTTTAACTCCAGGCTTCTTGGTTTTCATTTCTTAAGGGGAGAAGGTGGGGGAAACCCAACAAAAAAACCAAAACCACAAACCCAGCAAACACAAAAAGGTGGAGTACTAACTATTTAGGAATATTTTGAAAACAGGACTGGCGGAGAGGGAATAAAAACAGAATTTCCAAACCCTTCTCTTCCCATTCTCTTTCTCTGTCCTTTTGTATTCCCTGAAACTGTTACACCTAAAAGGAAACTTCTGCCAGATGTGATGGCTTTATTAAACTACGCAAGACTTTTACTGGAAGTATCAAACGCCTGTTTGAAAAATGGTGTGTGCAGTTGCTATTTCTTTGGGCCCCCCTCAGCGGCGAGCAGACATCCGAATGGAGCGAGCTGCCGTTGGGCGGCACTGGCTGGAGCTGGGGCCGCTGCTCAGGACGGACACGCTGCTGACTCTGCCCGCCAGCCGATGCCCCTGTGCTTTTCGGAGTGGCCCAAGACGTAGTGGTGTGTTGTTAAAAAAAATAAATCCTTTCGAAGGAGAAGAGGGTCACAAAATCTCCTCAACTTGTGCTTTTAAATGTGTTAAGTTTTTGCTTCTTTTGTAGTTGGCAGTATGTGAGGAGAAACGGGGGAAACAAGGTAAGGGCTGGCAACTGTGAGCAGAGATCGTTGCTGATGGCCGTTTTATCAAATTGAACACTGGTTTGTGTGTTGCAAGACTTATTTAGGGGATAGACTTGAGGGGGGGAAGCATTTCTAACTAGACCTATGAGGGAAAAGGGATGTATTCATATAAATCTGTCCTAAGTTGCTGGGTGGTTTTTTTCTCTCTACAGGGTCTTTTATCCAGCCTTGTCAAACTGACTAGTTTAACGCTGGCCAGGAACTGCTTCCAGTCCTATCCCGTGGGTGGCCCGTCCCAGTTCTCCACAATCTACTCTCTCAATATGGAGCACAACCGCATCAATAAAATCCCCTTTGGAATTTTCTCTAGAGCTAAAGTGTTAAGTAAGCTGAACATGAAGGTGAGGCACAGAAACATGCTACTGCGTGTAAAATCAATGAGGAGCACTGTTTGCTGCTCCGTGAATTCTGGCAAACTTAGTGATAGAAGGAATGAATTTATCACGGTGAAGTGACATTGCTGCTGTCAGACATAGCAACAATTCTGTATTGGTTTAAAAATGTACTATCAAGATGTTAGTGATTTGTCTGTATTTTTGTTAGTTAAGCTTTTGTCACATCTGCTCGAGTTTGAACAATGAAAACAAAGTTGGTTGCAAAGTCCTCGAATGTTCACATGGGACACAAGCATGTAGAGTAGCTCATTCTTCCTCCCCCTCTACTGTTACAGTTTAAGATATAAACAGAATTATGTAAAGTATCTTTTTTAAATAGATTCTTTCAAACCTAGGTTTGGAGACTTCTGGCAGTAGCTGTAGAGCACAGGAAAATAACCTTTAAGTCTGTGCTATGTACACTTAGAGTGAAGAGAAATAGGGAAAAGAGAAGATGTTTTTCGGTGAATGGGTTTGTTTCAAGTTCTTAAATTATTTTAAAAGATAACGTTTAAGCAGTAGCTAAGATGAGCTGCTGTTTTAGAGTATTTTTTGGCACAAATAGATTCTCAGTTTGCATTAGGACCATATTTTATTACATACCTGTTTATAACTTTGCATGTTTACCAGGACTTTGTATGACCTATTTTTTTTTAGTTTTTTTTTTTTTAAATGCCTGGTATAGCTCAAATTTTGTAGCTACATTTTGAGCAGTAAGATGTTCAGATTAATTTCAGATGCTTTCACTCTGAGCCATTAAGCTATATTTCCTTTGTGGTGTGTTTGGTGTTTTTTTAATAAATGTTTTAACTACATGGATGTGTGAAATCTTGAGAATTACGTACTTCTAAATTTTCCACTTCAATTCATATTAGTAACACAGAGTCAATTCTGTAACTCCAGGTTGGGACTGCTTATTATGTTGTGAGGAGTGTAAAAACAAATCAAAAGAATCAAATATTGATAATTGGACAAATATTATCTACTACTTTGTTTTGAAGTGTTTTGTAAGCAGTTTGTGTTATCTCTGGGATGCCTTGCCGACTTCTTGCTGACTTCAAGCGCAGACCCTAAATGTTTGATATGTTAAATCACAGGACAATCAGCTGACCTCTCTCCCCTTGGACTTCGGGACTTGGACTAGTATGGTAGAACTGAACTTAGCGACTAATCAGCTCACAAAAATCCCTGAGGATGTATCTGGGCTTGTTTCTCTTGAGGTGAGAAGAGTATAAGTGAACAGCTAAGTGACTCACTGCCAATAGGCATTTTCTCCTTCAGGTTTAAGTAATTTTATTTTTGAGTCAAATAAAACCAAATAAATATATGTGTGTGTGCTATTTAAAAAGATGTGTTGCATCTTTTTATGGTTGTTTTCAACTGCTTTTTGAATGTTTAGGCTCTAGATGAATGTTCATGCACAGTTAAGTACATACATATTTTTAACTACTCAGAAATAAAGTTTTTCTCAACAGAAAGTTACTGTTTTAACTGAAATGGCACTGAACTCAGTTCGATTTCTGGAGAGACCAGCATGGAAACAGCAAAAAAAAGTCATTGAATGGTTAAAGCCAGAGGTGGCTGGAATGTAATACTGTGAACCTTATAGGCAGCCAGGTGGGAATTCTCAGCCTTTGAGGGGGAAGAACTGGGAGGTTGAAACGGTGAACTAAACCTGTTGTGTCCCCTGGTCCTGTTTCCCAAGGTACCATCAGCGGAGACAAACTTAATTGCCTTGGAGGGACATAAAGGTAGAGGTGCTTGTCTGGGCAGTTGAGGGGACTTTGTAGCCTCTCTGGTTTTGCTGGTAAAAGTCTGTTGAAGCACAGTAACAAAGAGCATATTTGAAATTGCAAATTTCCAGTGTGACTGCTGCTGTGATGAATTAATAATTCCTGTAGTTTGGGGCAAAAATGATATGGCACAGTGGTAGGTATTTAGTGGCTCAGTTCCCTTAAGTTAAGGCTGTGAGTGATGTGACTGGGAAGTTAGTGACCTCTAACAACTGGATTTGCCGGTGGCCTGCCGAAGCTGGAGAGCTGCACAGTCTGCAGACCCGTTAGCACTGTTTTTCTCTGTAATTCAGGAATCAAATACAAAGAACCATTTGGGCAGTGTTTACACAAAAGGGAAGGTTCCCACAGCAGCACTAGGTCAGCTGCATTGCATGTAGGTAGTATCTTCTGTTCCTGCCTTTGTTTCTTGGTGCACGATTAAAACGTTACTATTCTTATCGTTCTGTGCGTATGGTAGCACATGAAGGAAGGCCACTGAAATACTGCATTTGCTAATGCTGAATTGTTGGCTTTTACTGATTTTGATTTTCACTTCCATCTTTAGCCTTGTTTTCTATTCCGTTCCTGCCTGCGCTGTCTCCACGTTAAACCTGGGCTGGCTTAGCAGGGAGCTGTGTGTGGTTAGGACGAGGGTCCACGCTGGGGGCTTCTTCACATCCTTGTGTTTCAATCTGCCTTGTTAAATGACCAGATAACAGCATTGTTTAACAGTAATTAATTACCTTACGCTGTGTTGTTAGGAGGCTTGATTGCTTCTAAGGACTGCTAGGCTTCTGTGGGGGAAAAGGGTATACCCTCGTTAACGTGCTGGTGGTGTAACGAGTAACTGTTAACCGACCTTGCAAATAAGGACACTTTTCTAGAACCTAGTATATCTATAATTCAGCTTAAAAAGGAGGAGGAAAACCAAGGGGTTAACACACTGGTAGGGGCGAGTGTGTGATAAGAGACCTCTTTGAAAAGCCAGTGGGTGTCTATGCAGTGTTCTGCTTAGATCAGAGGTGCTCTGATCTGTGCGTTTCCTTGCTGCTGCTCCTGACCAGTGGGACACAGGGAGAAGAGAAAGTATTAAGCTTTTTAAAGAGGGCTTGACAAGCACAGCAAATAATGTAAAACATGGTTACGGGATAGCTATAAGGAAAGATAACAAAGTGATAGAGAAGTCCAGGAAAAACTTTTTCTTTGGTCATTTGAAGAAATAAGATGTTCTTTGGTTTTGCTCTGCATTTATTATGTAAAGTAATAGTTGAAACAATTCCATCCTAAATCTATGCATTTGTATCATTGAAGACTTCGAATCAATGATCAACAATTTAAACAAATTTCTTAAAATATTTTCAGTTTGCTTCTGTAACTTGAATGTAGGTTAATCTTGGACTTCATTACTGGAAAATATAAAAAGATCCTGTCTTAATCATTATTTCATTATTTACTAATTGTGTTGCTGAAATTCTGTGTGGATTGTTTTTTTTATTTTTTAGGTTCTTATCTTGTCAAACAATCTACTAAAGAAACTTCCCCATGGAATTGGAAATCTACGGAAACTCCGAGAGCTAGATCTAGAGGAAAACAAACTGGAATCCTTGCCAAATGAAATAGCTTACCTCAAGGATCTGCAGGTGAAACAATAACGGGCCGAGATAAACATCTCGTGGCCTTTATTTACATCATGCTGATTTAATTACAGCTAGTAAGATGAGGGAAAAACTATTTGGGACTGGACATAGAACCGCAAGTCAAGAATCTTGTGCAACTTCATCCACTGTCTGTCCCCACTAATTCTTACCCAGATTTATCAGTTAAACTCTTCAAAATCCGTTTGTTTTATATTAACTGTTCTAATGTGAGTGCCACAGGAATAGCCTCTGATTTGTCGTGTTCGTTAAAGTTGTTACATTTAGGCATGTATTTTACTATGCACTCTTTTAATGCTTAGTGGTGCTTAATAGAGGTCTGAAATGTCATTTAAGGGTAGAAATTTTGTTCAAATGCATAGAAATTTTGTTGTTCAAATGTGTTTTGTTGTTCAAATGTTGTTCAAATGAGTAGAACCTGTCAATTTATCAGCTATGCATCTTGTTACTTGCTGTCATTCAAAGCAAAAGTAATTAAGTTAACTTTTTAAAATGTGTTTTTTCCCTTTAGAAATTGGTTCTGACTAATAATCAGTTGACCACCCTTCCCAGAGGTATCGGTCACCTTACCAATCTGACGCACCTTGGGCTTGGAGAGAATCTTCTCACACACCTTCCTGAGGAAATTGGTAAGAGCTCTTTGGTTTTACGCAGCGTGCTTGAGCCAAAGCAGTTACTGACACAGAAGATAGGCATCTTCTGTACTTGTAAGTAGAGGCCACAAAATTTCATGTAGATATACACAACCTGATGTGAAGTATGTGCCACAGGAACAGCACTATAGTGTATGATCTTTATCTTGGCAAACTGTAGTGAAACGGATGGTCTAGCCTTTTTCAGTTCTGCAGAAAGCTGCCAAACACATTACCTTGGAACGGGGAGATTCCTTTTCTCTCCGAATTCTCCCGTAGTTGGTGTGTTATCAGTCACTTAATTTCATAAACCTATTCTTGGAAAGAGAAAGGAAGTGCACTGGTGCTACTCCGATTCCATGGCACAGACAAAAACCTCGTGTAAGGCATAGACAGCTGAAGAAATGTTTCTGCTGATACTCCCTTTGCATACACTCCTGTTTATAGATTGTTTTTCACCTTGATGAGGTAAGGAAAGGAAACGAAGAGGAGGAAATCTACAGAAAGAAAGGGAGAAATAGGAATTTCTTTGTCTACTTGAGACGTTCAGAGTAAGTGGGATTCAGAACACCTGAAACTGAGAGCCCATGTTTCTGCTATCACAGGTATATAGGTCCAGAGCAGGATTCTGAGCACTTAAGTTAAAATCTTAAAGTTAGAGCGTATTATGGAGGAAAAAGTGGTGGGACAAGCCAGACAAAGGAAAATGGGGTCAGAAACGGTGTTGTGCAGTTGTGGAGTGCGCGGTCCATCTCCCAGCATTTTTAGTAAAGAGCCAATACAGCTTCTGCTCATCTTGTATGTGCCACAGTGTGAGAAGAGCCTAAAACCATCTAAATTCGGAGTTTTGTAATTTAGTTTGTAAGTTAGTGGAGAGGGTTTGGATGCCGTGGAAACAAGCTGTGGAACTAAAATCAGTAAGCACATTTGAAATACAATTGTAGAAGTACAATTCGTTTAGTTTGTTTTAGGAAATTACAGAATAGTCAATATTTTCAGATGTGACTGCTCTATCTGTCATGCTGTCAGCTATTTCTCATTATTTTTTCTATAGCCTTTTCTTTTTGTTGCTTTCCCATGCCTTAAGCCCTGGCTGTTGCTTTCTCTTGTGAAAGATTAAATAGTCTTCTAGGTTATAGGAGATGTTTGTGGTGTGAAACATTGGAAAATGGGCAACGTTTTTGAGGAGGACTTGTATGTTTGGAGTCCATTACAAAGATATGGATTAACTTTGATGTTTGATTGCTGCGGAGGAATGGAAGTCTTAAGAAAGAAGAAATTTGTTTTCTACCTTCTGGTTAATCTGTATTGCAGTATCTGTAGTAGAGGCAAGTTGTAAAATTTGAATTCAGGAAAAAGAAATTCACACAGGTTTGTTCCATTTAATACATGCACTGCTGTGCAGCGATCTCTCCTGCTGTCCTCCTGTGGCGCATTACAGTTGCTGCCGCAGGACTTCAGTGTATGGGTTCTAATTACATAAAAGGTGTGGCATAGGTATTTATACCATACAGCATCTATTATTGCTTTAAAAATATTTTCTAGGCCCTTCTAACTAGATCACTGTTCTGGGTTGCCTGCAATTGCAAAGCACTTGGCTGAACAGTTGTGGTGAAGTCCCTCTCAGTTATCGTATTCTACGTATTCTCAGTTCAGTTCTTATCTAAGGGAGATGCAGTAATGGATATTTTTACAGGGAAGCTAAGTAAATTGGTTCTTGCTTAGGCACCAGTGAACTGAAAACTTGCTCTGCTTGAAAACAGTTTAGATGAGTCACTGACTCAAGATTCTATGTAGTAAAGAATCTCCAAGTGGACTTTGAGGTTCTGCTAAGAGTTACAAACTGCATGAATAAAAAAACCACCCCCACAAACCTACTTTGTATTATTTTATTTTAACCAGGTACACTGGAGAATCTGGAAGAACTGTATTTGAATGACAACCCCAATCTGCACAGCCTTCCCTTTGAGCTGGCTCTTTGCAGCAAACTGTCAATAATGAGTATTGAGAACTGTCCGCTCAGCCACCTTCCACCTCAGATTGTTGCAGGAGGACCCTCCTTCATCATTCAGTTCCTAAAAATGCAGGGACCATATCGTGCCATGGTCTGATGCTAATCGGATTGTCCAATACACTGTACAAAATACAAACTGCATTAATGTTATAATTGTCTGTATATGTATATATAATATA